TCCCGCAGAGCAGGGAGCCTGATGTGGGGCTCGATCCCAGGACCCTGGGATCATGACCTGAGCCGAAGGCAGACGCTTAACGACTGAGCCACCCAGATGCCCCTAAAGTGAGCATGTTTATAATTCTTATATTTAAATTTCTATTTTAAGGGGTGCCTGGGTGGCTCAGTCTCCCTTGGCTCAGGTCAGGATCCTGGCATCCTGGGATCCAGCTCAGTGGGGAGTCTGCTTCTCTCTCTGCCCCTCCCCCTGCTCATGCTGTCTGTCTCTGCCTCTCTCTCTCACTCTTGCTCTCACTCTGTGCTCTCTCTCTCTCAAATAAAATCTTTAAAAAAAATTTAAAAATAAATTTCTATTTTAATTGTGTAATGTTTCAAATGTACAGAAATACAAAGACAACAATACAACTCCACTTCCAGAGTTAAAATATTTGCTTCATATCTTTAAAAGTTAAATATACAACTAACCACTCCTCACCCCAAGCCTGCCCCCAACCTCCCTTGAGAAAACCACGCTCCTGAAACCGGTGTACCTACTTTCCTGCATGTTTTTAGATTTCCACTTCATAGTTCAAAAGGTCTTAGTTCTCCTTCCTGAAAGGCTGGTGACTGAGTCTGCAAACAGCTCACACACAGCCTCTGTGGAAGGACGAGATGGATAAGTGCCATTGCAGAGGACCCAGGGCACTTTTGTCGGCTGGGATGCAGGAAGGGAGAGAGGTAGAGGATTAACCCAGGGGAAAAGGAGTTGTACCTCAAAGAAGAGGACTTAACGACCAGGGCATAGCTAGGGAAGCAGGACTGAGGCCAGGCTGGGCACAATAGAAGGAAGCTAGAAAGGGGTGGAAAGCAGCCCCTGGAGGTGTAGAACTAAAGGGGCATTAGGGGAGGCTGAGAAAGAGAGCTCCTCCCAGGAGCACACACTTTTGCTCCCCTGATCATCAGAAAGGATGTGGCTAGGTGTCTCTGGGACCTCCATGAATGCAGTTTGGGGGTTACAGGTGCACCCCTCGGTGGGCCCAACTGCTGAAACCCCAGCATGCCAGACCCATTACCAGCCGCAAGGCCTGGCTACGTGGCTTTTACTTGGAGGAAGTGACCTGCTTTAGTTCCTCTGAAGCATTATATAGATCAGTCAGAGATGACTCAACTTTCCTGTTACAGGCATGCCTCAGAGATATTGTGGGTTCAGTTCTCAGGCCACTACAATAAAGCAAGTCAACTGAAATTTTGGTTTCCAAGTGCATGTAAAAGTTAGGTTTACACTAAACTGCAGTCTATTAAGTGTGCAATAGCATTATTTCTAAAAAAAAAAAAGTGTACATACCTTAATGAAAAAATCTTTATTGCTAAAAAATGCTAACCATCATCTGAGCTTTCAGTAAGTCATAATCACTAATCACAGATCACTGTACCAAACATAATAATAATGAAAAAGTTTGAAATATTGTGAGAATTGGGGCATCTCAGTGGCTCAGTCAGTTAAGCGACTGCCTCTTGGTTTCGGCTCAGGTCATGAGAGCAAGACCCACTGCAGACTCCGTGCTCAGCTGGGGGGGGGGGGGAGGGTCCTGCTTCTCTCCCTCTCCTTCTCCCTCTGCCCCTCCTCCCTGCTCTTTCTCTCTCAAATAAATCTTAAAAAAAAAAAAAAAGAAAAAAGAAATATTGTGAGAATTACTAAAATGTGACACAGAGATACAAAGGGAGAAAATGATGTTGGGAAAATGGCGTTAATAGACTTGCTCAAGGCAGGGTTGCCACAAACCTTCCATTTGTAAAAAGCACAATAAAGTGAAGTACGATAAAACAAGGTATGCCTCTATTACCCTTCCTCAATTTGGAGTTAAAAGATAAAATAGAAGGTACCCAGTTAAATTTGATTTTCAGATAAACAACAAATGCTTTCTTTTTAGTAAAAGTGTGTCTTAAATATTGTATGGGACATACTTATACTAACAAGTTACTTGTTTATCCTAAAACCAACTGTGAGTGTTTTGTATATTTATCGCTAAATCTGGCAACTCTACCTCAATTGAATTTTGGAAGGGTTTTAGGAGTCTTTGAAAAGGACTGGGTCAACGAGCTCTCCAGAATAACATTAAGGGACATTAATGAATCTTTATCAAATGCTCAATGGTTTAATTTAGGCTGAAACAACAAAAAACCACTGACTTTATTAAATCAGCGGTATGCAAAGGCCATCTTAGTTATTTTTTAATGGTTTTATTGGTATAAGTCACGTATTGTAAAATTCACTTTTTTTTCATTTTTAAAAGTGTTTTTTTAATTTTAATTTATTTACCAGAGAGAGACAGAGGTAGAGAGAGAGAGAGATCATGAGCAGGAGGAAGGGTAGAAGGAGTAGATTCCCTGCTGAGTAGGGAGCCGGAGGTGGGACTTGATCCCAGGACTCTGGGACCATGACCCAGTCCAAAGGCAGATGCTTAACCAACTGAGCCACCCAGGTGCCCTGAGGATCACTATTTCTTTTAAAATTTTTAGTTAATATTCACTGTATTTGGCTGCAAATATATCTTTAACTCATAACTCGAGATCAAGAGTCCCATACTCTACCCACTAAGCTAGCCAGGCGCCCTTAATTTTTGAACATTTTCAGTACCTCAAAAAAGAAAACCAGTGCCCATGAACAATCCCTCCCCATACCTGCCCCACCTCCCTGCTGTTTCCCACCCTAGCCCTTGTCAACCACTTGCTTTTTGTTTCTTTCAATTACCTATTCTGGATCTTCCATTATAAATGGAATCTACAAAATGAGGCTCTTCATTTTGCATGTTGTCAATGCTCACCCACACTGTAGCATGTATCAGTACTTCATTCCTTTATATGGTCTCGTAACATTCCTCTGCACATACGTACCACGTTTATCTGATCCATTCATCCACTGATGGACATTTGGGTTGTTTCCACTTTTTGACTATTATGAATAATGCTTCTAGGATAGAACATCGCTGTACAAGTTTTCATGTGAAGGTGTGTTTTCATTTCTTTGGAATTGTTGGCTATATGGTAACTAATATCGTGAGAACTGCCCAATTGTTTCTCAAAACAGCTGCAGCACTGTACATTCTTAGTTTTCTTTTCTTTTTTTAATAAAGAACCTTCAGGGTTTCCTCGGTGTCCCGCAAGAGGGCCTGCCCCCAGGGCTCCTCCTTGGGGCGGGCTTCTGCGGGGCCCCAAACTCGCCCCACCGGTGCCCAGAGCGCTGGAAGTCCAAAACAGCGCACTTTTGGAAACGTAGTCTGGGCTCCTGGCTGGCTCCTCCCCCGCAGCGCTCGCCGGCAGGAGGAAAACCGACGCCTGGCTGAGGGTATGTGGACATTGTAGTTTTCTTCCTAGTCAGTCCTGCAGAGAGTGCATTAGGGAAAACTACAATCCCCAGAACGCTGCCGACTACGGCAACCGAAGAGGCCATTCCGCGAGCAGTGCTCCCGCCCACCCTCCCGTCCGGGCCGCTCTCCAGGGCGTCTGTAAACACACCCCGAGACTGTCATGGAGGGGGAGGAGGAGGCGGCGGCGGCGAAAGGAGGCGTTTTGGGCCGCCTCCAGGGTCCGCTCTGTCATTCCTGAACTGGTCCCTCGGCCCCGTGACTGTGGCATCAGGGAAGCGAACTGTTAGGCGAGAGGAGGAGACAGTCAGAACCATATCGCCTTCTTCCCCCAGGGCGGGGGCCGGGCCGGGCCAGGCCGGCTGAGCCGGGGGAGGGCAGGGGGAGGGAGCGCCTGGCCAGGCCGGCCTGTCCGCCGAGATGGATGACAGTAAGGTAAGTCCTGTGGTTTGCACGCGCAGCTGCCGCCGCCGCCGCCTGCTTGTCGCTAAGTGCTAGACCCGCCGCTGAACCTCAGCCTGGTAGCCACGCCAACACCCAGGAAACACCTGCCTTAGACATCCCTGCGCCTCCAGTTATTACCCCATGGTACCCAACCAGGAATTCAGGGATCGGGGGGCTGCGTTTTTCCAGAAAGGGCCCTTTCCTCTGGAGATTTTTCAGTCCCAGGGCAAGCCTGTTAGTCAGCTTTTCCAGGTAGTGCAAACCCTAGTCCTTGACTTGCCTAGCGAAATAAGTGAAGAAAGTACCGTGCTTTTTCTTTTTGCCTTCCCTGCCCCCCTCCCAGACTTTCTCCAGTTTGGTGACCTTAATTAGGGCACCCTGAACCAGCCTTATTCCCCTTGAAGGTTCCCCTTTATTCTCTCAGGCTCTTTTACTCAATGCCCCATTCATATCATCAGTTCACTCCCCCTCTGAGCTATTTTCCTGTGGTTGGTTGGAACACTCTGCTAAGCTCCTGTTGCTATTCGTCCAGAATCTAACCTCCTCTAGAAAGCCTTCTCTAAGAAAAGTAGTGAATTCCTTCTTGTTAATCTATCTTAATATCTTACCACCATCCCCCTTTTGCCGTCCGAATCACTTATTCCTATGATTCTAACAGGCATTGTTCATTATTGGCTAGTTCATATAGGTTACATACAACCTATTTCTGTCTTTATGTCTATCCACCTTAGTGTTGTCTAGTTTTAGTTCATGAAGATAGGGATAGTTAGCTTATTGATGTTTTAGAATGTTTAGGAAATTGAACTTTTTTTTTTTTTTTAAAGGAGTCAGACTTCTTGACTTTGCCAGTTTTTGAAGTAGAAATCACTCCTTCTCTTGCCTTTCAGAGGTCTTACTTTCCACAGTCTCTGGCATACTTCGAGCTAGGATTTTCCTTTGTTTGGGTGCCCTTTCCCCCTCCACCAAACCATTAATACTTTGCTGCTTTCACGTTTTTGTTTCACTCATCCTTAGAGAGAATGAAAAAATTTCTAGCTTCTCTGCGCTGCTTGCTTTATTCTACATTATCTCCTCTTCCTGTTCTTACAGAAGGCTCTGAGCAAAGTGATAGATGAAGGGAAAGCCCAATGCAGTACTTTGGAATTGAGACTCACCTGGAGAAACAGTTTGCTTGTGAAGTAGCAAACCCTAACAGAAAGTGGTGTTTCCAAGACAGAAAGGGGGAGTTCTGAAAGTTTTCCAGAAACATCAGAAAATAATTTTTCCATGAAAGTCGTGCTAGCTTGATTGTTCAGTATTAATTTTGGAAGTAAATCTGAATACTGTATCCATTATCTTTTGCAGAAAATAATGTTATGGTTCTTTAAGGATGTTAAAATAACATTGTTCTTTAATTTCCGTAATTTGAGGCTCTCACAGTATATTCTATAAAATTTTTATTTTCCTTTTCAGACTTTTGAGACATTTAATAACTTTCTCAAAGTCTTCAGTAGTCTCAAGTCCAAGAAAAATACATAGGATTTGGAGTTATTTTACTTACCTATAAAATCACATAGGAGTTATTTCTAAAACTAGCAAACTGTAGTGGAGGGTATAAAATTGTATTGTTTTCCCTAAGAGAGTGAAGTTAAATCTGGGGGGTAAACTATCCATAACTTACTTCCTGTAGGGTTCACAGGTAAGTAAAATGAACTCAGTTCTCATTCTTTTTAATACATTTTTTTTTTAGAAACCAGCGGTTTCTTAAATCTTTAATGATTATGGAAAAGAAAATCCATTCCACATGTCTCTGGATGGATAGTGCCTCTGTGAATACACAACTTTCACTTTGAATGCACGTCATAGTTGTGGATGAGTAATATTTAAATGCCATGTACAGCAAGATCGGACTGCTCTTCCAGCAGTCAGGCAGTAGGAAGCAGCCCTTAAGTCTTCGGCACCTCCCAGCCCTGCCTTTTTCTGTACCCTAGTTGTTATAGTCCTGCAGAATTAAATTGTCCTCCTAGCATAGACATACATATGTACAAAACACATTTTCTCCTCACATTATGTATATATAGGTGATGGAGTCTCAGGTTCCATTTTCTCCTGTATAAGGGGAGGTGAGACTTGGGGCTTGAAATTACAGTGGTTGTGCATAAAGTATGATGGGAGAGCATAAAGGATGACAAACTGGCTGACAGCAAGGCCAGGGGAATAGGAAGAGGATGAACTGGGTAGGAGCAGCAGTTATAGAGAGACAGTATTTGAATGAGCAGGTCAGGGAAACAGGTGATGATGATAAAGATTCTGTATTCTGAGTTGGGTTTTTAAAATAATCTTTTTAAAGATTTTATTTATTTATTTGACAGAGAGAGTAGGGTGGGTCAGAGGGAGAAGCAGACTCCCCACTGAATGGGGAGCCTGACACAGGGTGGGGCTTGATCCCAGGGCCTGGAGATCATGACCTGAGCCAAAGGTAGATACTTAACTGGCTGGGTGCCCCTTCTGAGTTGTTTTCATCAGTGCTGACCCAGGTGCCCCTTCTGAGTTGTTTTCATCAGTTTTGATGAATGAGTTTGCCAGGAGCTCTCCACATTCTGTCGCCTAGCTTTCTGGAGTCAGAGTAGGACAGATTTGAATGGGAGTGCAGCTTTGCCTTTCTACCATCTAGCAATGTGCCTGATACAGCATAGAGTACTCACTAATAGTGATTGGATTAAGTTGGAACAGAGTGGCATTAAGAAGATTGCCCTGACATACCTGGGCTTTATTATAATCAGTGTGCTCCATTGAGCCACCCAGCCAGACTATATATAGACAATGGCACATGGCAAAAATAAAGCAAGAGGTACATGGGCATCCAAAAGTGGGGGCGTGGGAAAGTGCTAAGTAGCAGAGCTCAAACATTGACTGAGTAGATCTCTTCTAGGCCAGTTGGGAAAGAAAAATCTTGGCTGATTAATTAACTTTTCTGAGTTTCCATTTTATCTGTTAAATGGTCAATAACTTTTTCACAGGCTTTGTTGAGGATTAGGGATAATGCATTATTATAAAGCATTGAGTACAGAGTCTAACACATAGTAAACACACACAAAAAGTGTTGTTATTACCCAGGAGTGACTTCTTTGGTCCTTGGCACAGTACAGTTGGTACCTGAGATGCTCATTTTAGTAATTCTTAATTGCGTGTTATTCCTAACGTTTGCAGCCATGTTTATACCTACACTACCCTTTGTTCCTAACTGTGCCCCAGATGGGACGGGGCAATGGGATGGCGCATGAAATGAACTTAAGCTGTGTATTTAACTGTCAGATTGTGTGAGAAAGGTAGTCTCCTGAGCCCACCTGCATGTCCACCACTAGGAAGAAGTGCTTATTTTTATGAAAGCTTCTTCCTGACCTGCTACATTCCATTACAAAGAAAATAAAAGTGTGTTATTTTCAGAGGCTTTGATCATAGGCAGAAGGTTCTTATTTTTTTATTTTATGTTTGACTTTTATGTTTATTGAATCAATGACTGATGTAAATTGAGATATCCTAGACCAGATGTGTTCCTGCCACAGACTAAGCTGGTAAAAGACTGGCATCCTGTATTGCCTGACAGTTTAGGGCATCAAGATTCAGTTGAGCAACTGACAAGAGAATGGGCCAGGCGCTGGCCACAATGTGCTAATTTGGACGCTGTTCTCCTTCATAGACTTCATAGACCTCTTGTCTACCTGTATTACACACAATTATCTGAAAATAAGGTTTCTCACACCTTCCTTACCTCTTAGGTAAGAAGATAGGGTCTTCTGTTCCATTCAGTTGTTCTGAGTAGCATTGGTTCTCGCAAAAATTTTAACTTGGCCAAAAAATGTCTTTGACATTCCCAGATCTGTCCTTTGGACCCTGAATCCTATTGACCCTTTATCCATCCTTTGCTGTAGTTGGAGCTACCCGCCTTGAGCAGTGCCACAAAACCCAGATATTTTCTGCTTTTCCTATTCTCCTCTTCATTAGTGCTATCCACAAGACCAAAACAGAAGAGTCAGCTCCTCTACTAAACATATCTCTGACAGATTTAATGTGCCTTCCTTTCCTGTCTAGGTTACATGCATATTTTACCTAGGGTACCTCAAAAGATAGTTTTAACCCTAAGGAGTAATTTCAATAATTCAGAAACCAGTTGAAATCTAAGTTTACATATTCTTATTCAGAATGATTAGCTCTTTTAAGGTTTTCAGAAAAGTTTATTCATTCATTAATTCACTAAATATTTGTTGGACACCTAATATGTACATGCATTATGCTAGACAGATACAAAGGTGAAAAAGTTTATAACTATTCTTGGGAGCTTACATTTCAGTAAAGGGCTAAGCAGACATATAGAGCAGTCATTACAATATAGTGAGGTAAAAAAAAGGGCAATAGAGGCAAAGTGCTTTTGGAGCAGTAGGAACTGGTGCCTGTCTGGGCATGTCAGACACGGGTTCACACAGTAGGAGTGAATCTGTGAGGAAGAATAGGAGTCCCCCAGAAAATGGGAAAGAAGGAATATCTTGCACTGAAGCATACTGCACTGGATAATAAGTATTGTGCTATAAGTTAGAGCAGGAGTTGGCAAATTTTCGGTAAAGAGCCATATAGTAATTATTTGCCGGCCATTTTGATCCCTGTTGCAATTACTCAACCCTGCCAGTTTAGCACAAAAGTAACCATAGGTGGAACTTAATGACTGGGTGTGGCTGTGTTCTAATAAAACTTTATTTACCAAAACTGGCAACAGGCTGGGCCAGCAGGGCTATAGGTTACTGACCCCTGAGCTGGAGCATAAAGCACAAGTAGAGGTATGGGCAGAGATAAGGTTGGTAAAATAAGCAGGGGCCAGATCATGATATGCCTGGCAAGTTAAGCTAACAAATTTTGGTCAGTATTTTTCAAAGTGTGGAATAAAGAAAACACCTGCTGACCCAGAATCTTGAGAATGGGGCTTGGGAATTTGAATTTTAATTAGGCTCCCCAGTTGA